CCGGGCTGATGAGCGGTGAGTTGTGTAAATTTCTACACTTACGCTGCTGTTTTATGAGCTCATGGTGAGAACTCGAGATGACGACGGCTTGCGGTTTTAACGGGGAACACAGAAACCTTTCGCAATTCGAGGAACATCGAGCTGACCCTGTCCCTGACCCTGACCGAGGTCCACCAGTTAGTGACCCCTGTTCTAGAGTTTGAAAACCACCAATAAAATATATAAAAATAAATAAATAATAATAATAATAACATTCGTGAAGCTGCCTTTTGGATATTTTATGGTAAAGTGCAGCGTAATCAATTGGAAAATCTGTCTCTTGCTCCCGTCTGCCACATTCTTTATAGAGATGGATTCACGGTTTTGGAAAGAAATCTCCAAACTTTCTCCTTCTCGTTATTTGTTTGGCATCGGCTCCACAAACTTGCCCTATCAATATTATGTCTTTAAGTCCTTCAAACGACAACACTCACGTCTTTGGGGTTGAATAACGGCTCCAGCGATTGTGGGAAAAAAGAATCATTTGACTTTTGTTTATTTATACTGACAGAGAAGACGATGAACTTTGTGTCTGTTTCCCGTTTGTGACACTGAGAGCAGGTTAAACACAGACCGCGGAGGCTAAAAACACACAATAAACAACAGAAAGACACAGATACCTCCGTTTAGCCTTGGGTGTGGACGCTGAACTAAAGCGACCGTTTTTTATGGATCTATTAAAGGCTCTGTGGTAGAAAGTGACGAAGTAGAAAAGCGCTTCAAAAGTGCTTCAGTCGGCATTACCGCAGAACTTTTCACTAATACTTTATTCCTCAACATTTGATTTATTCTTGCAGATTTTTACATAATGAAGTAAAAGTACTGCCTGTGCCTTTTACTTTTAACTTTTACTTCACTGCATTTGAGAGCAGGTGTGTGTACTTTCTACTCCACTACATTTTTGAACTGGACTGAAAAGTAAACGTTTTTTTTTTATTAAAACAGCTAGAAAAAAATATATAATTAAAAATGTTTTGTTCAAAATCACTACATTTAAAGCTTTAGTAGTTTTATACTTAAGTTGATTTTTTATTTGTGTAACTTTTCTGATGGAGAGTTCATCAAAAGGTTTTTCTCCATGGAGATGTTATTGCTTTGTCTGGAATGTTTCACAGTGCGGCATTAAAGCTTTTCTATCAATCTAGATCAAACCAGACTGAGTTACAGGTCAGATCTGTGGAGAGGCGACCCCGCTCACAGTCATAATAACTGTTTTTCTAGGTATTTTTGAGCTGTAAAACCACCTGTAATTGAATAAATGTACAGTAAAGCAGAGCAGTGTAATGCCACACTGTGGAACATTCTAGGCAGAGCAATGACGTTTCCATAGAAACAAGCAGGTGACGGATCCTCCACCAAAGAGTTACACAGTGCACTATAGTGTAGTTTAAGTAGTTTTGTAGTCGAGGCTGCACTAATCGAGACCAAGACCAGTCCAAGACCACAGGGTCCTGAGACCAAGTCAAGACCAAGACCTCTGAGGGTCAAGACCGAGACAAGACTGAGACTTTTAAAGGCCGACACTGAGACCACGGCCCATCAAGACCAAATTGAGACCTAAAACGGATACATATCTGATCTTTTGACATGTGACTTCAGTGTGAACGGTCAGGTCACATTCATCCACCTACACGTTATCAACAAGACACAAACGTCACTATTCTGCACTGAAGTAGGAGAAAATTGTTAATGAACTCTGTGTCACTGAAGTGAAGCACATCTCCACTCACCACAAAACACCACGACCAAAAACCTCGTCCTTCTCCTTCTCAATCTCCTCCTTAAAACAAGTAAGTTGTTCATGTTCTGGCTCCGGTACGAGAGGAACTTTAAAATCTCCAGGTGCTCGATGCTGCGTCCATGTTTGAACACAGAGACGCTCGCTGCGGGACACTTTTGGGCCATTTAATGTTCACACTGGAGTCACATACAAGTCACATTTAATTGGAAATGTGAACAACCTCGAAAAAACATCGAATTTCACAAAAAAATCCAAATTGAGCGTTAGGCCCTGCAGTCTGAACGTAGCCTTACTTGTTTTAAGGAGGAGATTGAGAAGGAGAAGGACGAGGTTTTTGGTCGTGGTGTTTTGTGGTTCAGTCCGTTGAAAGGAACGTGTGGATGTGGAGATGAAGCACATCACCACTCACCACTCTTGGCTCCACTTCAATGACACAGAGTTCATTAACAATTTTTGCCTACTTCAGCGCAGAATAGTGACGTTTGTGTCTTGTTGATAACGTGTAGGTGGATGAATGCACTTTGGCCGTTCACACTGAAGTCACATGTCAAAAGATCAGATATGTATCAGTTTCAGGAGCACATATCCAAGTGTCCTGGGTCACATTTGAAAAAGTCAGATCTGTGTGGTTCAGACTGACATTAAAAGATCAGATACAGGAACATAGGGGCCAAAAAAATCGAATTTGGGTCACTTCAGGCTGCAGTCTGAACGCAGTCATACACACTCTGTAATCCTCTGTTATGAAAGATTATTACAACACTATTTACACTTCTGATACAGTCTGTGGTTAAACACAAAACACAAAGGTGATTGTCTCTCTATTGTGTGAAAAATAAGGAACAAAACAAAACAATAAACCAACAGGTCCAGATATTGACATTTGCAGTGGTGGAAAGTAATCAAGTAAAAGAAGTAAAGCACTGTACTTCAATATAAATTATAGATATTTGTACTTTATTTCAGTACATTTTAAAGGATACTTTTTACTTTTACTTCACTACATTTTAGAACTGGACAAAAACAAGAAATCAGCCCAGATATTTGAAATAGAAGTAGTAGAGGTAGTAGAAGCAGTGTACTTCAGTATAAATCGTGTGTATTTGTACTTTACTTTAGTACATTTTACAGTATAAATCGTGTGTATTTGTACTTTACTTTAGTACATTTTACAGTATAAATCGTGTGTATTTGTACTTTACTTTAGTACATTTTACAGTATAAATCGTGTGTATTTGTACTTTACTTTAGTACATTTTACAGTATAAATCGTGTGTATTTGTACTTTACTGAAGTACATTTTACAGTATAAATCGTGTGTATTTGTACTTTACTTTAGTACATTTTACAGTATAAATCGTGTGTATTTGTACTTTACTTTAGTACATTTTACAGTATAAATCGTGTGTATTTGTATTGTACTTTAGTACATTTTACAGTATAAATCGTGTGTATTTGTACTTTACGAAGTACATTTTACAGTATAAATCGTGTGTATTTGTATTTTACTTTAGTACATTTTACAGTATAAATCGTGTGTATTTGTACTTATTTTAGTACATTTACAGTATAAATCGTGTGTATTTGTATTTACTTTAGTACATTTTACAGTATAAATCGTGTGTATTTGTACTTTACTGAAGTTTTTACAGTATGTGTATTTGTATTTCTTTAGTACATTTTACAGTATAGTGTGTATTTGTACTTTATTTTAGTACATTTTACAGTATAAATCGTGTGTATTTGTACTTTATTTTAGTACATTTACAGTATGTGTGTATTTGTACTTTACTTTTTTACAGTATAAATCGTGTGTATTGTACTTTACTTTAGTACATTTTACAGTATAAGTGTGTATTTGTATTTACTTTAGTACATTTTACAGTATAAATCGTGTGTATTTGTATTGTACTTTAGTACATTTTACAGTATAAATCGTGTGTATTTGTACTTTACTGTACATTTTACAGTATAAATCGTGTGTATTTGTACTTTAGTACATTTACAGTATAAATCGTGTGTATTTACTTTACTTTAGTACATTTTACAGTATAAATCGTGTATTTGTACTTTAGAAGTACATTTTACAGTATAAATCGTGTGTATTTGTATTTTACTTTATACATTTTACAGTATAATCGTGTGTATTTGTACTTTATTTTAGTACATTTACAGTATAAATCATGTGTATTTGTATTGTACTTTGTATTCAGTATAAATCGTGTGTAGTACTTTACTGAAGTACATTTTACAGTATAAATCGTGTGTATTTGTACTTTAGTACATTTTACAGTATTATTTGTACTAGTACATTTTACAGTATAAATCGTGTGTATTTGTACTTTATTTTAGTACATTTTACAGTATAAATCGTGTATTTTGTACTTTATTTAGTACATTTTACAGTATAAATCGTGTGTATTTGTATTGTACTTTTAATTTTACAGTATAGTGTGTATTTTGTACTTTACTGAAGTACATTTTACAGTATAAATCGTGTGTATTTGTATTTTACTTTAGTACATTTTACAGTATAAATCGTGTGTATTTGTACTTTACTGAAGTACATTTTACAGTATAAATCGTGTGTATTTGTACTTTACTTTAGTACATTTTACAGTATAAATCGTGTGTATTTGTATTTTACTTTAGTACATTTTACAGTATAAATCGTGTGTATTTGTACTTTACTTTAGTACATTTTACAGTATAAATCGTGTGTATTTGTACTTTACTTTAGTACATTTTACAGTATAAATCGTGTGTATTTGTACTTTACTGAAGTACATTTTACAGTATAAATCGTGTGTATTTGTACTTTACTTTAGTACATTTTACAGTATAAATCGTGTGTATTTGTACTTTACTTTAGTACATTTTACAGTATAAATCGTATGTATTTGTACTTTACTTTAGTACATTTCACAGTATAAATCGTGTGTATTTGTACTTTACTTTAGTACTTTTTACTGCGTGCAGGTATCTGTACTTTCTACTCAACTACATTTCTGACCAGGATGGAAAAGTA